CCCTGGTTCGCCTTACTTAACTAATAGCTATAGCTACCGTAAGTTTTCAGTCATTACGGTAATGACATTTTTTCAAAAGAAACAGCTAAAACGACTTTTTCCGTCACCGATGATAGCGAACATGATGGTAGATGGAAACACGCCTCTGCAGTGCCATATGGTTGCCGCTAAATGGGTTGGCCGGGCGTTCATTACATGCCGCTGTGTTAGGCCTCAGCTTCGAATTTAGCGGGAGCGGCGGCGGCGCGGGAGCGGGCGGGCAACGCAGACCCGTTCTCGAAACAAGCGGGCAGCTCGCGCGGCGCTTTAGCAGCGAAGAGTTGTGTTTGGGGTTGTGTTGTCGAGATATTTGTTTTTATTCGCAAACGAAATGTCTGAACAACGGCGACAATTTTATTTCGATTCAAATTTATTCCTAACGCTCGATTTATTGTGGGCAAAAGAAGGAGTGCGCTGCCCGCTCCCGCGCCGCTACTCGCTCGTTGCCCGCTCCCGCGCCGCTGTTTTCGAGAACCGGTCTATTCGATTTTACGCATAAGATCCTGCCGCTCCCGCGCCGCTACCGCCGCCGCCCCGCTGCCCGCTAAATTAGAGGCTGAGGCCTTACGTTCGGCGCTATGATTGATGACCCTGCTATCTTCCCGTTTTTGGTGGGGTACTGATGACTTCGAAGATTGACGGATTATTTTTTCGTCAATGAAATGTAAAGACTTTTCCGTAGTAGATTTTGTAATCGGATTTATCCGAACACTAAAATAAGAAAAATATTTAAATATTACTATACATAAAGGGAAAAGGGGAGTTAAATATTCACAATGCAATTATTTACAGAATATTTCTGTAGTAATCTAGCAGCTTATCTTAAATAGTTAGTAACGGATCTGAAACTGTTCACTTTTTGTTGTGGTTATGTTTACATCATCTGTCCTATTACGCTATTAAGTATTCTGTGCTGTTACTCCAAATATCCTGCCTTTTTTGTTCAGCCACAAACCGGGCTTTATGAGAACCCCACAATTATTTCAAACAGACCTTAAACAATGGAAAGGCAAGTAATATCATTAAAAGTGTACAACAACCGTTTCATTTGCATAAAGTAAACAGTTTGTTGGAATTGCCTTATTGTAAATACTGGCGTTGCGGTAAGGAATGAAGCCACTAAATTGTTAAATTGTATTACTAATTGTATTCAGAGCAATAAAGAGACACTTAAGGAAATTGTCCAAATTACATATTTTTTGTATTCAAAGGATTGTTTTGTTTACAGTCTCATCTGAAGGGTGCAGTTGCGATTTAAGACAAAAATTAGCCCAGAAAATGCCTATTCAAATGCAGAGACGACAGCATATCAAGATAAACACTATATTGCATGTTATCATTGAAATAGGTGCTACTTTTCAACGTAAACGTATTGTCACCTGCAACTTGAAGGTATCGGGGTTGTACGAATTCAAGAGCAGTGTCGTCGACAGGAAAATTCTCTCAAATTGGCTGTTGACATTAAAAAAAACTTGCGACAAAGTGCATGTATTACTCGTATTTTATTACGTTAATATTTTTCTTACAAAAGAGTTCACAAGAATCATAATAATTACAAAGTAAGAGCGCAAAAATTCGCAAAAAGTCGCAAATATTAAAATGTTCCCTCAAGTAATAAACCAGGCCGAGGTGAGGCGTACAGGAGACTTTTAGGGAATTAGGCAGTCTTAGGATGTGAATTGTGTGTGATGCAGGGGACGAGAGAAAAGCCTCCGGTGGCTGAAAATGTTGCAACATACTTTATCGGTCTCAAGGCAGCGCATTCGTAGTGATCAAGTTGTCAAAATGTAAACTCTCCTTTTGAACTACCAGCATTGGAAATAAGGATCAATATCGATATGGATTAGAAATACAACTTTTCGAGTTTTATTTTGATTTAAAGCTAGCAGACGCTATATGACAATGCGTTGCTGATCCTACAGAAACATATTTTATAGCACTCACACAGATTTCTATTATTTTATTCTGTTTAATGGCTTCAATGGTGCGTATTTGAAGCACACTGGTTTCGCCAATGTTGAGTGTATAAAGAGACAATGGACAGTGGAATTTGAAGATTGCCCGGTGATAATTTAATCCATTCTTCATTGAAATTTCTATTTCCTAATAATATTTTTAACAAGAAATCGGCTTTCATTATCCTTGCTGTGAACTTATTGTATCGCTTATTCTCGTAACTTGTGTCCTACCTCCCCCTAGGTGTTTCTCGTCGCAAAATTTGTTCCAGTCATAAGCACAGTGTGTACACAGTATCACCTTACACGTAGGCTCCATTCATTACCAACTTATTACGGACAAGGATTACATTAGGGTGAAGAGTTTTAGTGATTTTTTCCATTTCTTTGAAATGTTAGTATTCAAATTATATCTTGATGAAAACTGATGTAATATTCAACACATAAACCGTGATAATGAAGCGTATCAGCTGTCTAATATGTATGTCTCTAGTGCCGTCTCTAATCTTTAATTTTTGAATGACATTACATAACAGATAAAAAGTCATTATGAGGCAAACCCTATGCAGAATATTTCAAGATCTAACGATGGATCACGTTACTCAAACATGAAATGTGAATATACTTTTTATCTAGAATAAATTCTCGGGGGGATATTTTTTTTCAAACAAAATATTATTCTAAATGTTAGTTCTGGACCATCTCGAGTAAATGATAACGCGTTCTGTTTTCGATACGGCGTTGTGAGTGAACAGAAGTTGGTAGTTTACCCCCAGGGTGCAAGAATAGGAAGCGAGTATCTTTCCCTTCCAAAAGCCGTTTTATAATAGGGGTGGCAAAATTATGTGCTTGATATTTAAAATGTGAGAGCCGTTTGTAAATTTTCATTAGACCTTTTTTCTTCAGTCCAAAAGTGCGGGTCACATCCACGGTCACGTCTACAACGAAGTAATCAAATGAGCTGTTTCTTGTTTCTATGATTTTAAGAAATTCTATTTTCATTATTATCACATTCTGATTGTTTTTAAATCGGAAGACCATCCGTTTAAATTATTAGAAAGTATAGGTATAAATTCCGAAACAAAGGAACATTTTTTAAAACAGTGACATCCCTTTCTCTATAGAAAGGAAAGTTTCGCGCTATATGATATTTGTTATTCCATTTAGTGAGACAAAGGATCGAATTCGAATCTATCGCCAGGATCTCGTTAATGTTACTGTGTGATTCTATTTGTTCTAGATTTAGCATTTACTCGTATATCGCAACGTGGATTTTGGATTTAATCTCGATCATTTATTCGTTCTCTTAGTATAGATAGAATTTTATTTAACACGTGTAGGTTTTGTTCTGCGCAGCCGAAAAATGGAATTTGATTTCTTAGTACCTGTATTTAGATATAGTATTTGTGCGGAATCAGGATTCTGTTAAGCTTTTATAAAACTCCTGAACACAGCCCAGTATGTCTCTTATGTCAGTGGGATGTCTTTATACTTAAAATACAGGGTGAAATTGAATTCGTTAGAATCCAGTAAATAAGACTCATGATATACCTAAATTCATGATGAAAATATACTATGTATCATGAGTAATATGAGCATTGTTACTTCGATAGTGAGTGTAGTGGAAGTTATAAATGAAAAGGAGTGGACTGTATAAAATTAATTGTCTATTCGGTATAAATTTACAATAATATCGAGACCGTTTAGTGCAAAGTCGTTGAAGAGAGTGCGTCAGGATCGTCTTCTTCTATGTTCGCTCGCGAACCGAACATTGCTCGTTCGTTCGCCGAACGCTCGCCGCTCCCTCCGGTCACGCCGCCCGCGGGCAATGTCCGTGAGTAGACAAGCATTCTTATTTTTTCTCTTATAAAGAGACTGATTTTCTTTGGAATCTAAGTAGGTAAGTATTTAAGTAATTTGTGAACGTATTTCTTTGGATATAGCGAATTAACAACCTTATATTCGGAGGCGTTGACACATGCAATCACTATTTACGAGAAATTCAGGGCGACGTTACGCAACCCGCCGCCATTCCTTGAAAGATTCTTATTCAAAAGCCGACCTACTTGCGATAAATTCTTTCCGCGCACGTTTCATTCGCCTCGTATCAGTAATAAGTTAAATGGGCTTTTAATAAGCTTTGGGAATATGTAGATTTTACATCCATTTTATGGGGAGACAGTGGCAAGGTCAGTAACATTGTAAAGACATTTACGATCATTACTTTATTGATTTGAATTTGTAAATTCTTCGCGAGTAAGAGTGATGGCCCGATTTTCTGTTGTTCAAATTAATAATAGGTACACATTGATGTGTATTATTTATAACCCCTGTAATACAAGGTACACGCGCCTTGAACACTTGTATAAAGTGAAGTTTAGTATGGAAAACGCGTGTGTATCTTTTTTAGTAAGGGGGTAAGTAGGTAAGTATTTACAATTTGTACAAAGATTTATTTAATTTCTTCAAAAAGAAGCACCTAACTTTACCGGTGTTGAATTATCCCAACTATCCCAACTAATATTATAAATGCGAAAGTAACTCTGTCTGTCTGTCTGTCTGTCTGTCTGTTACGCTTTCCCGCTTAAACCTCGCAACCGATTTTGATGAAATTTGGCATAGAGATAGTTTGAGTCCCGGGAAAGAACATAGGATAGTTTTTATCCCGGTTTTTGAAACAGGGACGCGCGCGATAAAGTTTTTCTGTGACAGACAAAAATCCACGCGGGCGAAGCCGCGGGCGGAAAGCTAGTGAGACATAATTTTCAAACCTAACAAATACTTATGAAATGGAATCCCAAAACTTTGCTCCCTTATTAAAGTTGACAAATTCCATAGACAAAAACGTTACCAACCGAACCACGTTTACCGGTGTTCCCATTCGTGTTTACGGGCAAACTTGCTATCTACGCGCGGCAGTTGGCAGCCTTGCCAAGATGGCTGCCGCTCCCGCCAAATTATGCAACTTCGTTTATTTCTGTTATTAATGGAAATTTGTTGTTGCAGGTATAACCCCGGAGTCATGTTGAGGAAAGGTTGGTATGTACTTTGTATCTGATTAACTAACTTTATGGTCTGTTAGTAATTTGTTCTTTAGAAGCTTTTGTTCCTTGAACAAGTTTGTTTGTGCCCGTATTTCTTAAGTTTTTCATGAATAAGTAGAGTACTGTAGCCTGGTTTGTTATTCCAGAATAAGGATAGAGTAGATTAACGTTTTATTTAATGGTATTACAGATTTTTTTCCTGAAAATTGATTGCGGAAATCCCTTCTATAAATGGAAAAGCATGTTTCCTTAGATGTTTCATGAAATAGTTGTTGAAATTCTTTGATATTTGATGAGAAAATTAGTGTAGATTAATTAAACTTTAATGGTAATTGTTTGTTTAATAGTTAATTGATAGTATTCACTGATAGTTGTTAATCATTTCACTTGTCAAAAACCTACCTACTAGAAAATATTTTCATAATAAATTGAAGAATAAGTCAACATTTATTGACTGACGGGTAGGTATTAATTATTTTTCCTTTCTGTGTAGTGTTTTGTAGAAACAGTAATATTTACCTACTCGTATTATAGAAAACTACTATGTACTCGTACCTTTGGTGATATGTCACCTCATAGACCGACTTAAGTATAAGTATTTGACAACCAACAAGAAAGAATGCGATCAAAAATTTGAAGGTAAACAAAAGAAAATCGATGACTAATATTCAACAAAAACACAGCCTCTGTAGATGGAAAATCACGCGCTGATCCGAATTTGAGACAAAGAAATTCCCAAATTGTGTATTTAGACGGAGCTCTTGGTTGCGAAAGCTTTTCACGGCACGTCGCGTTCAATTTTTTCCCTTTCGCGTCTTAAAGTAATTATGATTCTGGTTCCGAGAGGGTACCTTGGTACCTTGTTAATATTCCGTCTTTGAAGAATAGATGACGATGGCTTTTTGAAATTAGGAAGTGTGACGTGAAAGTTTGGGCTATTGGAATTTTATAGGAAAGTAACTTGAAATAAGCGTATCCAGGTAATTGACAAATAAACTGATAATTTTTTTCATTGATTTCAGGTCATAATGTATCATGTTTTTCAAAATAATAATAGTTAAAATTGATAAAATTTGTTTATAAACAGAATTTAAAGCTTAATAAAGTGCCTAATTTCTTGTTCTGTAGATACAGTATTGAAGATATCCCACTTAAATTAGCAATCAGGGTTATTTTGAAAGTACCTAAACTTAAAGGGTTTTCTTGTTTTCACCAAACAACATCTTTAAAAACAAAGTGGGGTCGTTATGGAAACATGCAACGGTTTTGCGGGTTCTTGTTTGGAACTTTTATGTTTTTAAGAGTTTCTCCATCGCAAACAAAAAGGGAAAAGTTCTTAGGTCTATGAACTACACAATTTTATTTATGTGTACTATGAAGTATATTGATGGAAATTGAACGCATCTGTAATAATAATTCAATGTTTGTGAACGCACCCATTTTGTGCACTCTGTGTGTGTGTGTGACTTTCACTAGTTTCACTCGCTATATTTTCCCGCACTTTTTTGTTACATTAACACTTTATTTGTAAATCGATTGTCATAGATCAAAGAATACTTTAAATTCCTATAGAGGGAGCTCCCTCGTGAATAAAGCCGCACAGAAAGTCATGGTGTATTAACAGTTAACTATCAAGTATATAATGTGTTTTCAACATTTTCAGATAGGGTTTTAAGCTCAATCGTACCTGCCTCTCATCCATCATCCCCATAAACGTGGAGTACCTCTTTGGCCTGACCTTTCTTTATGGGTTTCAAATGCCGACAGCCGGCGGCCTCGATATTTGTACCATAAATTCACAAAGAATTCTGCGACATTTACGACTAGTGTTGTCAGGTATGCTCGGATTTGGGACATGGTAATAAAATGGTTGGGATTTAACAAGGTCGTTTATGAAGTGATACTGTATTAAGTCGTTTTTTCTTGTATTTTTGGGCACATTTTTGCATTATTACCGTGTTAAACTTACATGTGGAGCATACTTGCTTTCCACATGGATTGTTTGATGAAAAAACGCCATATTTGTCACGAAGTTAAGGTAGTACTAACTAAGTAGTAAGTATAACTAAGTAGTTAGCATAACTAATATTTTTAGCACTTTTTATTTTACTGATGCAGTCGCAGATGCCTTCATGTATAGTGAAAGAAAATAGTCAAACTACCCAGTGAAAATAGGTCCCTAGACCCGTAAAAATTGGGACGTCCCTTAAAACGGGACATCCGCCGGCGCTATTTATGTAATTTCTATACAAATGCGAACGGCCGATATTGGGTATCGGAGCGCAAGACTTTCCGAGGGTAGTGAAATGCCTGACCGTGTTTTGTGGGAATTCCCTTTTGCTGACCTATTACTGCGACTGTACAATATTTCTTGCTTTGTCCAAAACAAGACACGACAGAATGAATAAGAGTAGGCGCACACCGTTGATTTTTAGTTGGCCGATAGTTGTGCCTGATTTTAATTCGTATGAAGAATCGGCCAAATCGAATCGGCGTAGTGTGCGCACTCCCATACATGCCCATACTGATCAACTGCCCGACTAAACTATCGGCCGACGAAAAATCAACGGTGTGCGCCTACTCGTACGCTTAATTTTATATTTAAAAACAGCTGTAGATAAAGGGATTTTTTTAGTAATTCAATTATTAAAATATGCCATTGCAAATTTTTGTATTAATTCTTGCATATTTTGTCAGTAATGTGTGTATTCAATGAAAATTACCTATCTATCTACCGTCTATGAAATTACAAAGATTGGCCAGTCATAACACTAATTTAAAAATTCCTAGAAAGCTTATCTCGCAGCCAAAATGAAAAGGCGAAAAATATGCGCCATTAAGATTAAATCCTTTAATGTACTGGGGTAAATAATATTATCGTAATAAGTGCGGCAAATTAAATTATGACGGTGAAATATAAGCGTCTTTTTTCATAAGCCCGCGAAGTCATTGTGTAGCGAAATATTGTTACGCAGTTTTTTCTCTGAGCCTCATTTATTTAAGGCTTAATTACTGTGGAGGGGCTTAAGAAAAACGAAAAGATCGTCGTTGGCGGGGAAATAATAAAAACATGAACGAATAAACAAACCCTTGCTGAAGATCAAGGAGTTTAGTTACTACAACCTTTTTGGCAACACAGTGTAAATCGCATTATGAGTTTTTGATACTTACAAGACGTTTTCCCTGGTCTTCTTCGAAATGTAAATTTTAGTATAATCTATAATATAAAAATTATAAAAATGAATAGCAAAATGTGCTGGTAAGCGCATACTTAGCTCAACAACGCCTGGACCAATTTTACTACTTTATTAAGGATGGTTTTTACGGCGAGAAAAATTCGAATAGTTTCCGGGAAAACCCCGCTAAGCTAGTTATTTAATAGATTTGACTGATATTTTCAGATAAACAACAATATTATGTCTCTCTCATAAAAATAGTTGTTCAATACAAAGGCACATTGTTATGTTAACATTTAATCTAGTGTGTGTACACAAGCCTTCCCACGGGTCCGAACTCCAAATGTGTAACACAAACATTAATATTGTGAGAACAAAGGTTATATTATCAATTTGGTCCGCGCCGATATTTTAGTGAATTTTTATGAAATGTGGACCACAAAAACGAGCAAATGGCCGCTTCATATTTTATCGCCATTTTTACATTTTTCCACATAAAACACCGCGTGATGAAAACGTTTCAGCGAAATCGCGGATACTAAAACGTTTGTAGTCTCTTTTTCATTTATTGCAATTAAATGTGCCTATAGACTACAAGTAGGCGTCAGTCAGGAAACATTTAAACTTTCCTGAACAAAAAACTTATAAAAGCCTGTAAATCGTGACTTTTCAGCGTAATTAAATTAATTATACTAATTTGAACCAAACTAAAACGCTATCTCAGCTAGAGCAACGTGATAGCGTTATATTCTCCTTAAATTAAGGGAATTCAATTTACAGGGTCTCGAGTGGGCCACGAATAATGGCATAGTCAGTCATCAACCGAGATGGCAAGTGAATGGTGTTTAATTATTGCCAAGTGGCGGCCATTCTTTCTAAGAATTCATTAAACATCATAGCTAGCTACTAATTGGTAGTGCAACGCAGTGGATGAAGGTTCGGTAGTGATGTTCAAGCAATGTCTCTGTCACCGCGTAACACGATATTTGTTATAGTGAAACCCAAAGGAACATTTTTACTTGAATATCCTGAAAAGCCTAAGAGAACAGCAAGCAGGTTATCTAGTCTTTAATTAAGTAGGAATGCCAAAACCTAAGATAGATGAGGTGAAGACTAAATTATAAGCTCTTTATTTTTAGTTAACGTAAAATAAATAAAAATGCGTAGTTATTCCTGAATATTTTGTTTTATAAAGCTATGTCAGGTACTTTTGAAATAGAATATTTTCTAAACGACCCTTTTTTTGCGATCCAGAGCGAATAACTGCTCTAGTTTCGCAAAATAAAGAGTCACTTTTAACTAAATTTTCCGATTCAGTGACTTACCAGAGTAAATACAAATGAGTATGTAAAATTCGGCGCAACCACGACTGGCTCCCCGCTAATCCACGCTAAATTTTGTCAGTGTGTGCGTGCGCGCCGCATACGTATTGGCGCGCTCACATACAAACCGCGCCCGGTGCGTTTCTATGAAGATAACCTACTCATTTGTATTTACTCTGCTCTTACTCAATTAACTTCCATTATAGAGCTAGTCTTACTGAAAGTCCTGTCACCGTGACTCCTTGAAAGCAATTAGAGAATTTGAGCAAATTTAATTTATGCCACCTATAATTTAAGTTTCCATTTCAATTGCAGACCCTTTTAGAGTGATTTTACTAAAAAATAAATTGCGTTTATGCCATTTTGTGCCTTTTAGATCAAAGTGAGGGCGCCTCGAGTGTTCGGAGCCTTGTAGGAGCAATCCAATTATCGAAAATGTAAATCTTATCCCGTTTGTGTTTTAACTTTGAAGCCAACACATGTGTTAAAGACTGAAC